CCCCCCCCCCCCCCCCCCCCCCAAAAAAAAAAAATCCCTCTGTTCTGCATCACAGAGTCCATTTGCAGCATATTGTCAGAGAGAAATAAAATGCTTTCAGAGGGAGCGGAAAGTGCAAACCATTATCAAGCAATCAGCATCCGTGATTAAGGTGGTGCTGGCATGCTGCTTTGACCTTTCAGCGGGCTGATGTGCAGCCTACTTTTTCGGACGTCGATAGCTGGTGGAAAATACTATTTACATGGCAGCTGTATTGTAATGCTGCTCCGTGGGCGGGTTGCAGTCAGGAAGTACAAAGCAGGATAATAGTAGACGCTGAGATCCAGCATGCGTCGTCTTCTCGCCTGTTCTGCCTGTTCTGCTCTCAACCCCCGCTGTCCCCTCTTCCAAATGAGCGGGATCAGTATTCACTTAGTAATTAGTCAGAGATCGATCAGTTCTAATGATAGTTATAATGGTGAAGGCCATGAGTGCGGTTTGGGTTGGAGGGACCTTTAGTTCCAAAAAAAAAAGACCTATCCAAGTCCAGAATTTAAAGTCCAAGTCTGATTTAAACACAACTTACTGCTTCATGCACTCTTCCTATTATATTTGCACATTTATACAGAAAAAAACTATAAGAGTAAAAGCATTTTAGTGAAATTATGACAACCAAATATTAAAAGGGAATAGCTTTATTCATATTTGCATCTAGATTTCTATCTACTATTATTAAAAACTCTTGAATAGCACCAGTGTTTCTACCAGTGTTTGATCTTATACTATTGTAGCTAAAGTAAATCTAATCATCATTAAAATATAATGCTAAAAAGTTAGTGATATTACTATTATTATTATAATTTCTGGCTGTTTAACCCTTTATTTTGTTGCTTTTTAAACATTTATTTTATTGGAATGAAAATCCAAAATAAGGTCAGACTTCCAGTACCATCGGTGTCATCATAGCAGACTGTCCTGCAGCTTATTATCTGCTAAATGACAGTATTATTATTAAGGCACTGCACCTGCTGTTTGTAACTGATAGTATTTTGTACATAATTGGTAATATTGTGTAATTTTAGATGATGATTTTAAATCCGACACATGCTGTAAGCACACATGTGGCATTGAATTCATAATCACTTCACTCCCAGTAAAAATAATCTATTCACAAGGCAGGCAAATTATGTATGATATGTTAGTCAGTGGCTACAGTTCATGATCTTATTGATCAGCGCAAGCCAAGCGCTCTTGAGGGAGAAATGAGTGTGTGGGCTCAGCAGTGCTTCCTTGTGTGTGCAGCCCTGAAGGTCTCCGTGCACCACCTGTTCCTCCAGCCATCAGTCGCTGGTGCTCAACCTGCTCCTCTTTTCCGGTGTTCCTCTTTGGAGCCCCGATGATTGATTAAAACAATATTTCTGATGTTCACGTTGTTTACGCCTGTCCTCGACCATCCCTGAATGTCAACACTCTGGAGGATGGTTGCCTCGGGACGGATAATCCTGTTCCAAAGCCAGACTGTATGTCCGTTCAAATCATCCTCCACCAAGGCCACTCTGATGTATGTATTATGCCCACTTCATCCCGCATGACATTCAAAGTCACTTTGGGAGCACAAGCGTGCACTTTTAATAAGATTTCACCAATGCATTATATGGATGAGTTTTTCTTATTGGCCACTCACCTAAACCATGTTCATGCCTCCTGCTGCGTCGACGTGTGATACCTGTAGACCGGAGCAAGAAAGCACAAGAACAAGAAAATGGGATTAGCGTTGTTAACAAAACAGAAGGAGGTATAGTGTATCATGTGCTGTGTCAGTCAAGGAGAACAGCTTAAAACACTGAATGAAGGGCCATTCTGAAACAGAGAAAAGCTTTTGTAGGGGAATTGAAGGTAAAATTAATTACTCGCTTAACTGTGAAAGTTCTGCTGTTTCTCCAAACTGAATTCTGTTGTAAACAACACATCAAGGTCAACACAGCAGTCTTCTATATCGGTTCACTTCTAACTTTTAAATTAATTGTGATTTAATTTGACAAGCACTCCCATCCCAAGGCCCAGTTATTGTCTGTGCCACACAGACTTCATCAATGTGAAAGGTAATTATTGTACAATAAAGTGCCACGCTGTATTAGTCCTCTTGAAAAAGGCAAGTGAACAAAAGGCAACAATTATAATAATAATAATGATGATAATAATAATGATGATAATAATAATAATAGAGAAAACCCTTTCTTGCTATACTGTTAAACATTTTAGTCCTCATTTACCTAATGATATCGGCTGGAATATAAAACTTAAACTTCATAGTGAAGCTTGTCTTGTGTTCAAGTTTTTCATTTAAGAGCACAGAGCTTAACAATTTGAGCTGGATCAATGCTTGATACTCAAAATCATCTGATCCACCTGGGTTTAAGATTCTGCTAAGTTTATCCAGCATGTAAATACAGACAGAGATAGAACGTAATTCAAAGCTACTTAGCTGCTTCAGCATTCTGGGATGTCAATTTAATATGCAATTTAAAGTGATTAAAAATATTTTTTATATTAAAGGTATACTGTGCAAGAGATGTCAGTTACTGACAATCCTATATTCACTCTTGTTTTGGAACAAGCTTTGTCTTGGTGTTTCGCCTCACTATATTTGCGATTTTCATAGCTTCCTTTTCGTTAAATCCCGACTTCACCTGCGTGCTGTGCCAAGGAACGTCCCAAACACAGCAAAATAATAATAAAATACGAGAATACGGGCAGAGGGCAGGGTCCCTGCTGATAAATACACTGCCATACACTTCTAGTGGGCCATAAGTGATGAATGAGAGGAAATACTTTTGTATGAGTCCATACAATGTTCTTTACAAAAGTCCTGCATAGTATACCTTTAAGGATGTTTCACAGATCACCTGACTATGTGATGCCTGTTATCATCCTGCAGCACTGTAATGGTTTTCCAGTCTGCGACTTTATGGTTTAGCTTCATTTTTACTGTGTCCATAGTGATATTTTGGCATCAGTCGGCAGCTGTCTTTAGTGAAAAAAACTTTAAAAACCAACTATACCCTACCTGCCCAGTAGAAGGCGACCTACAGACAAAGTTAGTGACTAGCTAAGAATGTACTGGAGCTTCCATACATTTTCCTTAGGAGATAGTGGAGACTAATTTGACTTACATTCATCAGGTGGCCAGAAACTCCAATTAAACGCTAATGCTAATGTGCTAGATGTGTAAATAAACTTGCTAACAAGTTTGCCAGATCAACTTAAAGGGTGATGATATTTTGTGTTCTCAAATTGTTTCCTGATGCTGCCAAGGGCCAAACTGCAGGTTGAAAGAACATCTCCAAACACTGAAATGGTTTTCAGATCCCTCTAATACAATTATATTCATATTTGTCCAAAACACCAAATGGTAAAGAAGTGTTAGCATTAGCATTAGCATTAGGATAAAATTAAATGATCCATTGGACTGTAGTATCATAGCTTAAGACCTTATGCTACTTGTCCAAATGGTTTAATCATTTCTAATGGCTGGTGGTGAGGCTCTCTCGGTTGTTCACATCATGATGTCATATGAGGGACAGATGTTAGGGTCACCTGACACCCAGTAGAAATCCCTCAGATGACTGCTGAAACATCTTCACAACTTCACACACTCTAACAGTCCAGTGTATAGTTTCATTTCAGCCTGACGTTGCACTGCCTGGATAAATGGGATTAAACTACACAGACGAGTGTTGTAGCTATGAAACTAAAATAAAGAGTAGAGTGGTATAGCGCCTGAGTCAATTCCTCCACCTCCATATAATATAAGGTTCTGCTATTATCTTTTGTCCGCATTATATGTATTGCACAGTGGTTTGAAAAGTAGTTTATGTTCTGTTTGGTTCACATAAATGTATAATATTCCAATGGATATTGGCTACCTATTATGTCAGAGGCCCTGGAGGCGCCCAATGTTGTAACACTGTCACAAATTCAATCCAAATTTTTTATCATAAACAGCAACACAAACATTTTTCACAGCAGAGCGACAGAAGAGTGGGGGAGGATATAATCAGCTTGGCTCCACGATCCCCAAAACATAAAGTTCATAAAGATTTAGTGCAGTGCCATAAATTTAGTTTGACTACTACTTTGAAATCCCTCTTTGAGCTTAGTTTGTGGTTGAGAGAGATTTGATTTGTTTCGGAGAGATGATGTATATGGCTGTTGGCATCAGTTAGTAAACCATACCTAATGGATGATTTGCAGCACTACCTTTTTTCACAGCCCGAGTCCTGTGACACAGAATTACACCATAATTATGGATTTAAGGGCAGATCAAAATATGTCATGTTTGCTCATGACTAATTCATGTGGATTGTACTGCATCAGTCTGAACAGATGTTTTGTGCTTTGTGAATTCTTACTTTGGGCATTTGGGGTATCTCCAGGGACTCGTCGCAATATCTGGGGAATTTTGTATTTTATATTTTCCTGTACACTTCAGAGGATTAGTGTAGCTGTTTGCTGATGTATTTTCAGAAGGCGTTTTCTCATCTGTTTCTTATAACAGATGATTA